ACCACAAATTGATCAAAGGAAACAGAAAAGACGAGCGGAGGAGCCAAGACAATCGCATGCTTGTAATGAATAGATCGACAGACATCTTTTGCCACGTGGCAGCGAAAAGATACCGACTTACACGTCATCCTTGCACTGCAATTTGCCACGTGGCAGTGAAAAGGTACACGTGGCATTCGGGATACCACACCTTGGCAAAATTCTTCACACCCCACCTTAGCGGGGGACATGGGAAACAATTTGTCTCGATTTTCCGTTAATCATTTTTCTTTAAAAAGAACAAGGGAAATTTCTTAAGAGGCCTCGGGGTGAAACACGCTCGACCTAAACCCTAAACTTTAAATAGGTAAAGATTTCGGGGATGCTCAAGCGAAAAAAAAAACAGAACGAGAACTTCCTTAAGAGGCCGCGCGGCGAGCGCGGGAAGATCCCCTTTGATTGACACGTGGCACAACTCAGCAATTGACATGTGGTACATGTTCCCACTCAGTGCCTGTGTGGAAACAAACGAACCGGCGCCAGGTGGAGAACGCAGCAATCAAGGGATCGGGATGACGGAAGGACAACTCCACCGCTACCGGTAGCCTGGGATTGGGATTGGGATTGAGATTGGGATTGGCATAGGGATTGGCATTGGGATTGGGATTGGCATTGGGATGGGTTGGAACACTCCACCAGGCATGGTATTGGGGTTGGGATTGGGATTGCCATTGGGATGGGTTGGAACACTCCACCAGGCGTGGTATTGGGATTGGGATTGGGATTGGGGTGGGTTGGGACACTCCACCAGGTGGAGACACCTCAAACCAGGAGAAGCCTGGAGCGACGGAAAATGCTACGTTGGGCACACGTCCGATCGGAGCACGGATTGCGACCGCGATCGGGAGACGTCAAATAGAAACCACGGGCCAACTGCGCGCCACTCGCGAGGCGCAACCGTACACGCGGGTCGTGCGCCGGGATCGCGACACGTCAATGAAACCCACGGCCCACAGCGAGAGAGAGAGAGAGAGAGAACCACCTCCGTGGTTCCGACCACAACGAAGAAACAGATCGATTGCCGAACAGATCAGCTAAGGAGGGGGGAAAGAAAACAAAAACGAAATCCGCTAAGGGGGAGGCCCTTTGATGACCAACACAGGAAAAACTACGGAAAGCACCGCCGCACTACTCACCAAAATTTTGAAAATGGCGAATGCATCTTCCGTTAGAACGTGGAATTGTACACCCGGCATAATTTTTGTGTCCTTTCCAACATCTGATGAGTTCTGCGGGGAGGCCGTATGTCGTCGCGACGACACGTGTCTGTCAGGCCCATGTGCCACGTCAGATCGCGCACATCACAGAATCTACTCCATGTTTTATCGTGGTCGGGCCGGGGGTGCGGGGAGGGGGTTGGACGGGGTTGGACGGGGTTGGAGGGGGGTGGAGGGGAGTGGAGGGGGAAGGGGGGAGAGGGGTATGACATCGAATCCGGCGGGACAGAAGTCATAAAACAGTTCGTTGCAGATGTGGGTGACTTTCCAAAGAGACCGAGATAGGGGAAGTTTCTCCGTAATCTCCGCTGTCAGACGCCAACTGGGCTGTAGGGGAAACCCCCTTGTAGGGAGAAGGGGGGCGCAATACGCAAATTGCAAATCCTCATTCTTTTATTTCGACGTATGCTTCCATCGATTTGTCGATTTGTCCACGTGGCATTGTGTACCTACCCATCGTCTGCGTAGAGACCAGCCGCAGGTGATGCCAGTATCCCGACCAGGACGAGCCATATCATCTGTTCGATAGTCGCCATTCTTCTCCACGTGTACCAGCCCCTCTCATCCATCTCTCTCTCTCTCTCTCTCTCTCTCTCTCTCTCTCTCTCTCTCTCTCTCTCTCTCTCTCTCCCTTGTGAGACAGAGTGTGAGCTTGTGGGGGGTTCTGTGTGTTTGTGTTGGAGCTCGAATGGTGGCAGAAACTTCGACACGCAACCAACTACAATCCGTACGTACAACGATGTCCAAATCCAAAATCGCAGGCTTTGATGACAGCCGCGCGCGTTGTTGCAGTCCACCCCAACAAAAAACTTTGATGACAGCCGCGCGCGTTGTTGCAGTCCACCCCAACAAAAAACCTATGTCGCCATTGCACGGTCCCCGAAAACAACAATGGCGCCGCGCTACAGCGGGCCGTAACCAACCACCTAATCCCTCGCTCCACTATCTTCCCTCCACTCATATATTTCTCTGTGGATTGCATTTACTGCCCATGGTTGCCTCCCGCGTCGGACGGATCTTCCCGTGATTTCGACAAACGGCCTTGCTCCACGACTGACCAAATGTGCAAACTGAGAATGGATCTTCCTCTAGAACGTGGAAAGATACACCACCATATTTTTTGTCTTTTGTGCATATGATGACTGGCAAAGCAAGGCCCAAAGCCACCTCCTCGCCCAGGCGAATCACATCGAATCAGATCCTAATCAGTCAGAGAGATGATCTCTCTCCGATCGGCCTGCGGCGGCTTTGACAACCTTTCGAGAGCGACTGCACCAGGCTTGGGAAAGGCCCGGGGAAAAGGCTCGTACAAGGCAAGAGGTGGCACGCCATCCGGGTTCCCCCTTCCTCTGTGATTAGTAGCCCCAATCCCTCCAGCTGCGGTTTTGTGAGTGTGCAGGTTTACTCCCCTTTGTCTAACTCATGGACAGCTCCTGCAGAACTACAGAATGGGACCTTCGGTGCCAATAGCATCCATCCCGCAAGGGGACCCTCCCGGCCGTGTCACACAGGATTTTGCAGGACTTGTCGCAGAGAGCGTTGCTGCTCCTGCCAAGTGCGCCAGCCGTACCTCTCGTGAGCCCCTGCAACAGGATGTGGCCACGCGAGGCACAACTTACCTCCACCTGCGGGAGCTGTCATTATTATAATGTATGTGAAAATGAAGTTGAAAAACGGGGGCAATGGTGCATGAGGGGGTGAAGGACACAAAGGGAGACAGAAGAAAAGCGGGAGTCGGGGTCGAAATGTGGTGACGAATAATATGTGTGCAAGGAAAGTGGGAAGTACGAGAACACAAGGAGAAATGCAGTCGAGGAAGGAAAATCAGCGTGAGTAGAGAAAAAAAAAAGAGAAATAAGAGATGGAATATGAAGTAACTCACCACCTGAGTCCTTCGTTATGGACGTCATTCCTTTATGAATGTAGAGTTAATCTTGCTGATTGCAACTATATCTTTGGTTAATGTCGCTGTTTCGTCTTTGTTCTCAATTTTGATTCTAAATCTGGTTGCTAACACTGTCAGATGCATTGTAAGAATGAGTAAGGTTGAGTTAGTATGAGAAATAGAGGCCGATTGCGCAGTAAAGGAAGGAGATAGAAACGTGATCATGACGGTGCACGGTCAAAAGAGGTAGGAAAATTGCAGGATGTGTGGCGGAGGCGGATGCTAACAAGTGGGCGGAGCTAGGGAGAAGGTGTGCATGTAAAAGAAGAGAAAAAGGAACGCGTAAGTAAGAGATAGGAGTGAGAGCAACGGTACGGAAAAAAACATAACGGTGTAAAATCGATAAGGAAAAAAACGATGAAGTGGGGGAAGAAAATAATTTACCTCGTAAGTACGCTTTCGTCATTCCATTATCAGAGGGGGGGGGGAGGGGGAGTATGGTCGTTGTTTAAGCCAGAAGCATACACGCAAATTGTTCGGTGTTATAACTAAAAACTTTATTTTCATTATGCGGATTATGTGATCGGCTTAGCCAATGATAGATGGAACAATGGACAAAAAGAGGATACCGGAAAAAAAAAAAGTAAGAAGAAAAGGACGAGAGTGAACATACATGGTGGTGTTGTGATAGTCTGTATGAACGACGATATCACGTAAAATATGGTTTTGTTGATTAAGTTTTCTAGGCTGTATCATCCTAGTATCGATTAGTACATACACAATCTGACCGTAATCTTGGTACTGTGTGTTGTTAGGGGAAGAGACATCATATACATTATTGGTGATGATAAGTTCGGATCCGCATTGACATATGAGTTCATTGCATTCTTCTTATTTAACTTGTATGTCGGTGCATGCTACTTTTTGTCTGATACATAAATATTTGGTCATCAATATGCGGTTGCAATTTGTTTTTCTGACTATCATTCTCACTTTTTTTTTTTGCATGTTTTATTTTTTTTGCATGCATCTCAACATGATCGCTATTAGATGCATCTATCTATTGCAACATTCGATAATAAAGATCAACACATTTTGTACAAGATGACAATAAAGAAGAATAAAGACAATCGGAGGAAAAGAAAAAAAATAATTTTACGAGAAAGAGAGGGAGAGCGGGAAGGGGAGAAATAAATTATATGAACAATCGACCTTTCGTCACATCCGCACTTGTAGCTAACCGAAAATGTAACTTGTGTATATTATTAATATCATTATCATTAGTATTAGTATTTTTATTGTTGTTTTACCTATTATTGTTATTATATTTTTATACCCGTTTATTTTTTATTTTATTTTAAAAATGCATTTGGACGTGATAACTTATTGATATAACTTATTGATCTAAATTATTGATACAACTTCTTATTTTTTAAGGTATAATACGATATTTTTATCAAACTTGTATATAAATGAAAAAAGAATCATTCTATAGTAATCTCTTGAGAGCGTCTTCAAAGCACGGAAGATTTGACACGCAGTGTTGATAACTTTGTTATGTTTTCATAAAAAAATATTTATGTTTTTCAAATTCATAAACTAGTATTACTAAAATAACTATAAATATCAAATTTTCACATATCTCTATGTTTTAAAAGAAACCAAGACTTTTGAAACTGGTTGGTATACTACCATAATTTTTTGTAGAGTCTAACTTCATTCAGTTTTTTATTATATTGACACATTCAACATACTTGTTATAATAAAAAATAAACAATAACAACTTGATTTTTAACTTAATAAATTTGCATAATCAATTGATTCAAATAAAATTATATAAATCATATTTTATTATACAAAATAATACAACATAAAACTTTTTTTTTGCGATGCGCATTCTTTTCCACTATTTCTTTTTTTGTTTCARTCTTTTTAATTTATCCCCTATGTAAATTTGGTTGTGTTTTTATGCATGGTTGTAAAGTTGAAATTATTTTTCGATTTATTATTTTATTTTAAAGTTTTCTCAATTTTGTTTTAAATCCTTTGAGTTATTTCAACTTTATTGAATTGCCTAATCATAAAGTTGCAATTTTGTAAGGGATTAATGATACAAAAATATTATAAAAATTCAATAAACAAAAAATTGTTTAAATATAAATATATTGTATATTATAGTGAATATATGTATATATATTTTTAATATTCAATTCAATTTAATTGTCATTCATCAACATTGAATGATAAAAGTGTAAGTGAATGAAATAAAAAATTGATAATAACAACTTAGTTAATATAAATAAAAATTTTAATAATAAATATATAAATATATATTAAAATAAATAATTTTATTAATTTAATAAATCAGATTCATGATATACTAAAAGTTTTTGAATTGAATTTTGAATTAATTGATTGAATAAAGCTAACGTGTTAAGTGTCCCACCTGGGAATACGCTCGCAGGAGTGAAACTAAAAGGAATTGAATGAAGTTGTTCCCATGTGAATACAATGTTTAGAAAGAAGGTTCAATAATTCAACCGAAATGAAATGACTGGATGAATACAACGGACGCGCGCGTCTTCATAAACCTCGTAACGTTTAGTACCAAGTGGAGGTAAGCGGACTGCATTTATTTATGTAGCTACACCACCTACTAAATTTAAAGAACCTAGCTTGACACGAGTCATATATTCAGCAGAGCGTCTTTCTTGCCAAGGTTGATTTTTGTTTAAGTTTTTCCGAGATGAAGCAAACAATGTATAATCTATGTTATACTAATAATCAATCAGAGTATCATATCATTGTTGTATAAGTATGACAACATTTGTATTGGAAGATAGGTAACTTCCATCGTTAGACTGTTTGTACGACTATGTTTCATCTATGTTATTGATTTTATTTTTGAAATAGCTTTGTCTGAAGTGAACGAAGTTATATTCTGCATAAAATAACTTTGTATGACAACATTTGTATTGGAAGATAGGTAACTGCCAAGGTTGATTTTATTTTGGACATAGCAATAAAGTGGACGAAGTTATATGCTGCATAAAATAACTTTGTCTGAAGAAAAAAAAAAAACGTTAAGGGCATTGAAAAAGAACATGATTTGCTTGAGATTGGGGAAAAGTGGTAGGATGGAGACTTTCGTGTGAATCATCCTACCTCTTGTATGCATTTGTACGTACAATGTTCAATACCAAACTGATAGCGAGATACTCCTTTGTGAGTTACCCAACTATTTGTTCACGTATGTGTCATTTGTAAGGATTGCTTGCTTGCTATCAAACTGGTAGTAGAGGGCTTCAGTAAGGGTTATCTTATTTCTTGTTTGATCTCGATCTGATCAGTCTTGAATGGTAGTAGAGTACTCAAGTGAGGGTCGCCCTACTAGTAGTTCGAGACTTTGATGACTAAGTATTAATGGGTGGTGAGGTGCTCCAGAGTAAGTTACCCTACTGCGTGTTTGAAGTCATGAATTGACAGACATTAAAAGAATGGTCAAATACTCTAGTGTGAGCTATCATATTACTCGTATGAGTTCAAAGTTACATAACCGCGTAGTATTGTGCGAAAGAGAAAGGAATTTTCGTATGAGTCATTTAGTCGCTTGTCTGTATGAAGATAGTTACATATATGTGTCAATATACACTAATAACCTTATAAAAGGTGAACAACGGACTAACTCCAATGTGAGTTATTTCACTGTTTACCTACATGCCAAACCAGGAGGAGGAGGTTCCAGTGTGGGTCATCCTATTACTTGTTTCACCTTAGTTTAATTGACATGAAAATGCGGTAAAAAACTTTAATGTGGGTCGTCTTATTACTTGTTTTACACTAGTTTGATTAACAATGAAGGGTGGTAGGGTACTTTAAGGTGAATCGTTTGCTACTTGTATGTTTAAAAGAATGTATCTAATTGTAAGATAGTACGATACTCGAGTGTGAGTTTTCCAACTAAAACAGTCATTTCATCAAAATTGACATATTATATTTTTTGAACAAAATTGAAA